TGACATAACTTTTCAGACTCAGGGAACACCTACAAATAATTACTTTATCTACAGCTTACAGTACCTTAGTGTGGTGGTCAATGGAAAGAATATTCCTTACATTTGTGGTCATTGGAGATCATCCCCTCTTACAGATAGGCAATACAATTATTACTGTCTGTCCTTACTTATCTGAGAGGCAGGAATTGCCCATTGCTCCAGGAACCCCTGTCAACCTTTGGAGGTACCCTAGGGTTCCACAAAACCATGGTCGAGAACGGTACAAAGATATACATTTGTGTTGATATACAGTGAGGAACAGAAGTATTTGAACACCCTGTTTTTGCAAGTTCTCCCACTTAGAAATCATGGAGGGGTCTGAAATTCACATTGTAGGTGCATTCCCACTCTGAGAGACAGAATTTAAAAAAAAATTCAGGAAATCACATTGTATGATTTTTAAAGAATGTATTTGTCTTGCACTGCTGAACATAAGTATTTGAACACCTGAGAAAATCAGTGTTAATATTTGGTACAGAAGCCTTTGTTTGCAATTACAGAGGTCAAACGTTTCCTGTAGTTCTTGACCAGGTTTGCACACACTGCAACAGGGATTTTGGCCCACTCCTCCACACAGATCTCCTCTAGATCTGTCAGGTTTCAGGGCTGTCGCTGAGCAAAATGAAGTTTCAGCTCCCTCCAAAGATGTTCTATTGGATTTAGGTCTGGAGACTGGCTAGGCCACTCCAGAACCTTGATATGCTTCTTATGGAGCCACTCCTTGGTTATCCTGGCTGTGTGCTTCGGGTTGTTGTCATGTTGGAAGACCCAGCCACGACCCATCTGCAATACTCTGACTGAGGGAAGGAGTTTGTTGCTCAAAATCTCACAATAAATGGCCCCATTCATCCTCTCTTTAATACAGTTCAGTCGTCCTGTCCCCTTCGCAGAAAAGCACCCCCAAAGCATGATGTTACCACCCCCATGCTTCACAGTAGGGATGGTGTTCTTGGGATGCAACTCATCCTTCTTTTTCCTCCAATCACGACGAGTGAAGTTAAGACCAAAAAGTTCTACTTTGGTCTCATCTGACCACATGACTTTCTCCCATGCCTCCTCTGGATCATCCAGATGGTCATTAGCAAACTTCAGACAGGCCTGGACATGTGATGACTTGAGCAGGGGAACCTTCCGTGCAATGCATGATTTGAAACCATGACGGCGTAGTGTTCTACTGACAGTGACCTTTTTAACTGTGGTCCCAGCTCTCTTCATGTCATTGACCAGCTCCTCCCTTGTAGTTCTGGGCTGATTCCTCACCTTTCTTATCAGTGATACCCCACGAGGTGAGATCTTGCATGGAGCCCCAGTCCGAGGGAGACTGACAGTCGTCTTTAGCCTCTTCCATTTTCTACCAATTGCTCCAACAGTTGATCTATTTTCACCAAGCTGCTTGGCAATTGCCCCGTAGCCCTTTCCAGCCTTGTAGAGGTCCACAATTTTGTCTCTGGTGTCTTTTGACAGCTCTTTGGTCTTGCCCATGGTAGTAGTTGGTGTCTGACTGACTGTGGGGTGGACAGGTGTCTTTAAAGAGCTCAGACAGGTGCTACTAAGTTAGTTTAATGAGTGGAGTAGAGGTGGACTTTTTAAAAGCACAGTAACAGGTCTTTGAGAGCCAGAATTCTTGCTGTTTCTTAGGTGTTCAAATACTTATGTTCAGCAGTGCGAGACAAATAAATTCTTTAAAAATCATACAATGTGATTTCCTGAATTTTTTTTTTTTTTTAATTCTGTCTCTCAGAGTGGGAATGCACCTACAATGTGAATTTCAGACCCCTCCATGATTTCTAAGTGGGAGAACTTGCAAAATCGCAGGTTGTTCAAATACTTCTGTTCCTCACTGTATTGTGGCAGGAGTGGCTTGGGGGTTAGTCCTTCTACCTTGCAGCACTGGTCTATTTCAAATCCAGGCCAGGACACAGTCTGCATGGAGTTTACATGTTCTCCCTGTGCTTGCACGGGTTTCCTTCCACACTCCAAAGACCTGCCAGTAGGTCAATTGGCTCTAGGATCTGAAGTAGGGAGTCTAGATTGTAAGCTCCTGGGGGGCAGGGACTGTTATGAATGTTTAGTGCGTAAAGTACTGTGTAATTGGTCATTGCTATGTAAAAAAAAAAAAAAAAAAAAAAAAGCAGAATTTTCTTTATGTGTGTATATATGTATGTGTGTGTATGTATATATATATATATATTTATTTTTTTTTTTTTTTCTGCATTATTGCTATAGAAAAGCAATAAATAAAATGACATTGTATTGTGTTTCTTTCAGAGATCTGTCTGCAAATAAGACTGGAGCAGAGCTTGAATTACAAGAAGGGACCATATTCCAGAGTGTTTATGCTTCATTTTCTGATACACTGAAGGTAAACAATGCAAATAATAAGGCATGGAGTGCCGGACTTAATCTTTGTTTGTATAGCGCCATCTATGCACACACCCCAGTACTATGTTGGTTGGTAACACACCTAGCAGTGGATGCAGAAAGCAGACGCTTGCACTGAAGTGACACTGAATGTCCTCTGTCTATAAAGCTCTTATTTTCTTCCTGGATTTTGAAACCTGAAGATTTACCTGGAGAAGTCATGTTGTTCACCTGATCTGTGGTAAAGCATAGGGGGCATTAACTGGTGGTAGGTGATAACATTTATTAAGTAATGAATTTGTTTGGCCATTTTTCATATTATATGTATTGTTTTATCTGATCTCACCCTGGAAACGTATGTTTTGTTGTTGTGGCATACATTCAATTCTGTCCTGCTCATAGGGAACACAGGGCTACTTAGGTTCTAGAATTATAATGCTCTTCTCCACTGCATAAGGTAAGGAATCACAGGCGGAAAAAAATGTTTTCCTGTGAATGTAGTTAACCTCCTGTTACTCCAGCACATTTTTTTTTTTTTTTAAACTTCAATTAAGATTTTAGTTGAAAGTAGTTAACCATGTTCCAGGTCCATCAAAACATGAGATGTGCAGAGTCCATGTTCTTTTTCATGGAGCCACAGTCTGAATAGAAAAGCCTGACTCCTGCTAGCTTGCTAAAAAGTAGGACCCTTGCTCTTTGTGTGGAAGCAGTGATCTCTTTTGCAGAGGTCTGACACGCACCCTGCTGGTGTAGTTCTAGCTCTGTATTTAGAGGAGTACATGAGCTTTACCAATTCTGGAAATTTGAAACTGTTTATGGCATGTAGGTCTCAAAGTTATGGGTGGATTCTGTTTGCGTGTTATTTTTTTTTTTACACCATTAGGAATAAGAAAAGTTTCATGAATATTTAGACTTGTAACAAGAAAGTAAAGAAGACATGTCTGAGATAAAGTCCATACACATTAATGTTACCCAGTCCAACTGTTTTGTTGGCTTTGAAGGGCAACCACTAGTGTAAGCCTTGTTAGTGGGTTCTCAAATAGTATTGTACGCCTTGGAATACTAGAGCCATATAAGTCAGTGTGTTAGATCTAAATGATAACTATTTAAAGCTGAACTCCAGCCAGATGTAAAATACACAGATCAATGCAGCTCTGCATTCATTACTACATTCTTGAATGTATATATATTTTTTTTAAATACAAGCAGAGGAAATACCTACATTTGACTTATCTACTGTTTACAATCCTGGTACAGCAGAGCTCAGACTGGGGAGGGTGAAACAGCACAAGGAGCCAATCAGTAGTATTGCAGAGTAAGTAGCAGGCTGATGAGAGGAGAGATTAAAGTGACAGAGAGATGAGCTCATGGGTTTTCTCACAGGCTGGACAGGGATGAAGCAAGACCTGTAAATGTTACTGAACAGCAGTGAAAAATCGGGTCTCCTCTCCAGGACTGTGCTGTGTGGTGGAGTGACATAGCTGTATAAATCTCAAGATGGGATGGACAAAAATCCATATATATATATATATATATATATATATATATATATATATATATATATATATATGCGCGTGCACAAACTATTTTGTCAAAAGTATTGGGATGCCTGCCTTTACACGCACATGGACTTTAATGGCATCCCAGTCTTAGTCCGTAGGGTTCAATATTGAGTTGGCCCCACCCTTTTCAGCTATAACAACTTCAACTCTTCTGGGAAGGCCGTCCACAAGGTTTAGGAGGGTGTCTATGGGAAGGTTTGACCATTCTTCCAGAAGCACATTTGTGAGGTCAGGCACTGATGTCGGATGAGAAGGCCTGGCTCGCAGTCTCCGACTAATTCATCCCGAAGGTATTCTATTGGTTTGAGGTCAGGACTTTGTGCAGGCCAGTCAAGTTCCTCCACCCCAAACTCACTCATCCATGTCTTTATGGACCTTGCTTTGTGCACTGGTGGGCAGTCATGTTGGAACAGGAAGGGGCCATCCCCAAACTTTTCCCCCAAAGCATGAAATTGTCCAAAATGTCTTGGTATGCTGACGCCTTAAGAGTTCCCTTCACTGGAACAAGTCAGGCAAGTACCGTTCTGACATCTGCCAAACCCAGACACGTCCATCGGATTGCCAGACTCATCCGACACTTTGCAGTACACTTGGTGATGTAAGGCTTGGATGCAGCTGCTCAGCCATGGAAACCCATTCCATGAAGCTCTCTACGCACTGTTGTTGTGCTAATCTGAAGGCCACACAAAGTTTGGAAGTCTTTTAGCTATTGACTCTGCAAACATTTGGCAACTTCTGCTCACTGTGCGCTTCAGCATAAACTGACCCCACTCTGTCATTTCACGTGGCCTACCACTTCGTGGCTGAGTTGTTGTTCCAGTTGCTTCAACTTTGATATAATCCCACTAACAGTTGAGCGTGGAATATTTAGTAGCCAGGAAATGTCACGGATGGACTTATTGCACAGGTGGCAACCTGTCACGGGACCACACTTGGAGTCACTGAGCTCCTGAGAGCGACCCATTCTTTCACAAATGTTTGTAGAAGCAGTCTGCATGCCTAGGGGCTTGATTTTATTCACCTGTGGCCATTTAACACCTGAATCCAATGATTTGGAGGGCTGGCCCAATACTTTTGGCAATATAGTGTATATACGTATCTACTTTATACAGTGTGTGTAAAAAAAAAAAATATATATATATGTATATATATATATATATATGTATATATATATATATATATATGTGTGTGTGTGTGTGTATATATATATATATATATATATGTGTATGTATTTGTATGTATGTATATATAATCTCCAAAAATGGTTTAGGGGCACTTACGGGTCTTGCAGCAGAGATGAATCAAAGGAATAGCATATGATCGCTGACCTGCAAATGTGTCTCTGCCTGTTTTTTATTTGTATGGATATTTCTTTCTGTCTGCACCCAGTCATTTACCTCACTCATATATTTATAAATAGAGGGTTGCAGTATAAAAAAAAATTACAGAATGTACATTTAACCTATATTGCTGTATGTTTGTATTTACCTGCTTACCTGGAGTTTAGCTTTAAACATTTGGAGACCCAAACATGCCCAATTTTGATTAAAATTGTTGTAAGTTTTGTGTTTATTGAGCAACAAATCCCCTATAAGGTAGTATTGATCAGCTCAGGCTAGGCATATGTTTGTTTGTTTTTTTTTTTTTCAGCATTTAAAAAAAAAAAAAGGATAAAAGGATTTTTATGCTGGCCAGTGGATTTTTGGTACTGTGAAAAAGGGATATTGCAGAGATCTGAGCTTACATATATTGGCCAATACTGATGTAAAGAGCAGTTTAACAGCTGATGTATATACTTTCACAACAGTACTATATTTTTGAGTAGTATAACCTTCGAAAATACACTGCAGTACATGAGCATTGTTCCTCTGTGCTTACATGCTGCCAGTATGACGTCGCTACAGATCAGAATGCTGACTGTGCTCCCCAGCCAGTGCACATTCATGTGTTGGTTATTGCAAGTCTGCCATAAAATTTAAACAAAAGCAGTGATTTGGCCAGTGTGCAAAATGTCAAAAATGTGCATAGGTACTGTATAGATTAAAAAATGTTTTTTGTGTTTTGTTTTTTTTCTCTTGAACAGGTAGGTGACACTGTTCAGATGGGAGACTCCTCGCTAAAGACACCCCTTGGGCCCATTTATCAGGAGCTGCAAAGCCTAAGGCAGGCCTTGTTTTCCAAATATGTGGAGGAAGTTATTGCTTTAAAAAAGCAACACAGGACAGAATTGGACCAGCTGAGAGCCAACCTGACAGAGAAGTTCAGCACGGAGAAGACCGCTCTGAGGCAGGAAATCATTCAGCTGACAAGAGCCAAGCAAGAGACTGTTAATGGCAGTTTCCAGCCCACCTTGTGTCCAATCACAGAGGAGAAGAGCGATGCTGACCTCAACCAGTTGCTTGAGGAGCGCTACCAGGAGAAGATTGAGCAAGAAATTGCACGAGTGAGTTTGGTTTTGGTTTATACAGATTGCAAATACCGTAATTCACAACTGCCAAACTATATTTTTAAAGCCTTGAAAATGAATTTGTACTGGATGTACTTGCTCCACTTCTGGGAGGACATCCTCCAAGGTGCGTGCCCCCTGGGACACGCATCTGGCATGCTCTGTGACCGCTGGACACAGCTGATCATAGATTGCAGTAAAGGCCAATCACCGCAGACTTTTACCATGTGATCAGCTGTGTCCACTCACATGTAAACAAACTTGCAGGTTATTGGCATTTCCTTTCCTGACACGCTGTCTCTGTGTGAGGAAAGGAGAGCTGATAACTGGCCAGTCTGACAGTAAATTGTTTACATTGAATCAGGACACTGATTATCCGTTCGTTATCAGCGCCATCTCATCAGTACTGCCTTATCTGTCCACATCAGTGCACATCAATGAAGATAAAATGACAGAAACGAAGAATACCTCTTCTTTTTTTCTTTTTTTTTTCTCAGCATTTTCTTTCTTTATTTTGTTTAACTAAAAATAAAAACCCAGTGGTGATTAAATACCACCAAAAGAAAGCTCTATTTGTGTGGAAAGAAATGATAAAAATTTCATATGGGTACAGTGTTGCATGACTGCACAGTTGTCAAAGTGTGACAAAGCTGAAAATTGGCCTGGGAAGGAAGAGGGGGTGAAAAGTGCCCGCTATTAATGTGCTAAACGTGGCTGTAAAGTATATGGCTACCCCCTTGTATATATGTAATTACAAACTGTATAAGAAACTAGTTTTCTAAAACATTATTACATACTGATTAAGTATTTACATTACGATCTGATGCATATATCTAGAAAATAACATTAGAAGAATATGGATGCCCTTTATGCCCTTCGTTTCCAGGGGTCCTAAGATTGACGTCACTAGATCGATGTGTTACAGTAAAGTATGTAGAGCGAATGTCCCTTTTTTAAATCATTCTGTGCTTTGCGTAGCACAACATTTTCTGAGACTTTGCTGCTGTAATTTGCTCTTAGCTCCATCTGCTGGATGCAAGTGGTAAATATGAAATATTTGCATTTTAGTTATTTTTTTAATGGATGGGTACAAAATACCTTTAAAACGCTATAGACTTTCTTCTTCGTTTTTGCCCTTTTATAGATGCAGGAAGAGAGTTTCCACATGGGTAACCCACTCAGATCTAGTGAAGTATATGGAACACTGTTCTGGAGTGTGTTAATTATGTACACTAGACAGAATTATCAGTCATGAAGCACAGAATGATACAAAAAAAACAAATGCAGCTGTCAAACAAATATTTTGTACTTGAAGCAGAGTTCCACCCAAAAGGGGAAGTTCTGGTTTAATGCTTTGTCCCCCGCTCCCCATTAAGGATTGGCACCTTTGGGGAGTGGGTGCTCGAATTTGACAGGTACCTGCTCCCTCTTCCTCTGTGATTGCCTAGGCGATCGGAGGTGGAAATTGTCCACCCCCTCCCTCTCTGTAGTCTTCTGGGACACATGACAGGTCCCAGAAGACTACGGGGCCATTCACAAATTTCAGCGCTTCTCACGCATGCCTATTGGGCCCCTGGCTGTCACAGCCGGGCACCCAGCCCGCACTAAAGATGCCAGTGTCAGGGAGAGAAGACGGCCAGTGAAACCAGCTGTGTTGAGGACACCGCTGGACTGAGGGACAGGTAAGTGGCACAGACAGCAATAAAACCTGACCATTATTCTAATCCCCCTCCACGCTATCCAAAACAAAAAATAAAGTTTGCCCTTCGTTATACTTTAAATGCAAGAAAATTAAAATTTTAATATTCTATTGGCCAAAAGAAATCACTATGCTTTTGAAGAATATACATGATTTGCTGATCAATATTTGAAGTTTGCTTATATTGCAATCCAACTTTATTTTTCTTGTTGCTGAATCAATATTTTTTGGGGTTTTTTGCACAATGTACAGTAGTTATCAACCAAGCACCTGTCCATACTTCATACAGTGTTGATCCTTTCTTGTTAAGGTTATTGTCGAGATGTCCATTGCATTTGCCCAACAAACTGAGCTTGCTCGACTGTCCTCACTGGAGGTCCCTGAACAGCAGAGCCTTTCCCAGGATCAGACTGAGGCCCCTGAACAGGATGCTGATAAGCAGACACAGGAGGAGAAGGCACTGGAGCTGGAGCAGGAGGGCACCCATTTAAAGGATCTTCCAGTAAATGAAACTAGTGATGTAGATTTAGATGTTCATCAACCTGAAAACCCAACCCTTGACCAACAAGATAAAACTGAAACCAAGACCCAGCCCAAAGAAAGACACATCGTTCTCAAACAGGAGGTAAGAGCAGAATCTTTCTTTATTTAGGAGCATCTATAGCCAATGTTGAAGCACGTGTATAAAGCTGTGTTACTTGCTGAAACCCCATGTGATCCACCTAGGCTTTGTTATACAGCTGCATTGCATGTGGAGGTTAACAACACTTTTCAGTGTCTGCAGACTTTGACACTACCTCACCTCCAGCATTCTTTTTGGGTTGTTGCTAGGCCAACAGCACACCCTAAAATTCTGTCTTCCCTGCAAGTCTACCAGAATATCTTCAACTTCTACCTATTACCTTAGATGTCAGGTGTCCACTGTGTAGAAAATATGATAATAGTCCCTAGTTAAATGAAGAAATGATTAAATTAGCTTAGTGTGTGTGTGTGTGTGTGTGTATATATATATATATATATATATATATATATATATATATATATATATATATATATATATATATATACAGTCATGGCCGAAATTGTTGGCACCCTTGATATTTTTCCTGAAAATCAAGTATTTCACACAAAAAAGGTATTGCATTAACACATGTTTTGCTATACACATGTTTATTCCCTTTGTATGTATTGGAACAAATATAAAACAGAGGCAGAAAAGCAAATATGACATAATGTCACACAAAACCCCAAAAATGGGCTGGACAAAAGTATTGGCACCCTTAACTTAATATTTGGTTGCACACCCTTTGGAAAACATAACTGAAATCAGTCGCTTCCTATAACCCATCAATAAGCTTCTGACACCTCTCACCCGGAATTTTGGACCACTCTTCCTTTGCAAACAGCTCCAGGTCTCTCTTATTGGAAGGACACCTTTTCCCAACAGCAATTTTAAGATCTCTCCACAGGTGTTCAATGGGATTTAGATCTGGGCTCATTGCTGGCCACTTCAGAACTCTCCAGCGCTTCTTTGCCATCCATTTCTGAGTGCTTTTTGACGTATGTTTGGGGTCATTGTCCTGCTGGAAGACCCAGGATCTTGGACGCAAACCCAGCTTTCTGACACTGGGCCCTACAGTGCGACCCAAAATCCTTTGGTAATCCTCAGATTTCATGATGCCTTGCACACAGTCAAGGCACCCAGTGCCAGAGGCAGCAAAACAACCCCAAAACATCATTGAACCTCCACCATATTTTACCGTAGGTACTGTGTTTTGTTCTTTGTAGGCCTCATTCCGTTTTCGGTAAACAGTAGAATGATGTGCTTTACCGAAAAGCTCTATCTTGGTCTCATCTGTCCACAAGACGTTTTCCCAGAAGGCTTTTGGCTTACTCAAGTACATTTTGGCAAACTGTAGTCTTGCTTTTTTATGTCTCTGTGTCAGCAGTGGGGTCCTCCTGG